TGATTTTTTTATTTAATATTAAGATAAAATACAAAGTTAAAAAAATTCCAAAAATATATGACTCATACTGTATATTTGATGCAAAAAAGAAATTATCTATTTTACTGTCTAAATATTAACTTCTTCAAAATGAGGTTTAAAAAAAATATATCATTTATGTATCAAATAAATTATATACTACTTTATAGCCAAAAATAAAAATCATATAAATTTGATTAGCTGAATTATATATTTTTTTGATAAATAATTAATGAGTGGCATTATACCGAATAAATTAATTTTGACTAGTATAAATCAGAAGTTAAAAAAAAAAAAACTCTTTCCTACTTCCTCTTCTGTGTTTGAAAATTTTTGAGTTGTTTACTTTTTTTCACTTTTCACTTTCTCTTCTTTTTCCTTTTTTATATCTTTTTATTCCCTCTTCCCTATTTTTACTCTTCTCTTCTCTATACTTCTTTATATACTTCACTTCTTCCTCTTTCCTTTTTTTCTTCTCCTGCCAAAGTTAGGTTTTCCCTTTTCCCTAAAGGTTTTCTTTTTAGGTCTTTCTTTCTTTTATAAACTCTGCTCTTTATAACATTAATCTTCTGATCAGTTGACTTCTTTTTCCCAAGACCATATTCAAAAGTAAAAACTTCTTTTAAGACATGGGCTTCAAAATTTTTCTCTCTTTTATGGCCTTATAAAAAAAGAATGGATAGTTTATTATTACCAAATTTGATATTGTTTATTTGTTTATAGTTAGACTAGATACATCTAAGAAACTGGTATACAATTATTATTATCTGAAAGTATCAAGAAGTTGTGTCCCACTATATTTAAAAAGATTTGGTAGCCAATGCCAATGCAACTAACAATAAGTTAGATTAATCTGCAGATATTATGTTAATAATTAAAAAACCCTAATAGAATAATATATAAAGACCAGGGATTCTAGTTACCTTCGCAATATGAACTGGTAATGATAATGAAAGTTTCTTGTTTACTCTTTTGATAATGAAAGACTCATTGTACAAGGTTAAGTATCAACACCTATAAAAAACATCAACTTACTACATATCCGACACTCTCTTTAACAAACCACTACTCTATATCCAATTTTCTTTTATACTCTCTAGTTTCAGTTTACCCTAAATTCAGAATATATATTCCAAAGCTATTCTGACAGTAATATTAATTGCCACTCCCCAGTCTATAGTCCTAGTGATGGATTCAAATAGGTGATCAATATTAGATACAGTTGATAAAAGATTAATTTTGTGTTAGAATTGTTTTGGTGATGAAAACAGTTGCCACCTTTTAGCCTTTAGTCCTAGTAATAGATTTAAATAAAGGGTCAATACTAGGTGTAAATGATAAAAGACTAGTTTTACTTTGATGTAATTTGAATCTAAGATAGTAAGAAACTAATACTTATTTTACTTGTTATACATCAAACCATATTTGAAAAGCAAGTATCCCAATTCTAATATGACTTGGTGGCAAACTTGTATATAGTGGCTGCAATGTCTTTATGTAATTAGGTAATTATCTTTCTTTAAATAGCTAGACATTATTTAAGACATAATATAGGTTTTGAAATTTCTTTTTCTATATTTTTGAATGGTGTCAAGAAGCATAGAGAATAGATTGTATTTGCGGAGTCTTGCATTTAACTCTTCCTAACAAAAAGATATATATGTTATACTGTAAATGTATTATAAATCTTATACTTGTAAGTCTAAAATTATAATAATAAAATAAAATGTAATAGTCTTCTGCACCTTTAAAAAAAACCAAATCAGAAGCTTTTTCTTATGTAATCTTTCTTATTTTAATCTGTTTTTAGCTTATAATTATTAGAAAAATCAAAAATCATATCTTTATATAACTTAATTAAAAATTTTTTTTAATTTTTAAAATTTTACAAATATAATTTAATTCAAAAAAAAAAAAGTTAAAATTAAAAAAATATTAATAAAAACTTATTAAATTTTATTTCAATAAATAATTCTTTTTTCAATAATATCTTGAATTGATTTTATTAATATACCTTATTCAAATACAAATTAGATCAATAAGTTAAATGATTTAAAACTAATAATAAGATTTTTATATTTAAATAGATTCCTTTTAAAAAATATAAGTTCATCTTAAAAGTATATACTATATCATTAGATTTAAAATAGGTAAGGAAGCAAGTTAACTTAAATAAACTTTATAAATTACTTAATAAAATCATATATTGTATATACTGTATATTTACTTCAAAAAAAAAAACTTTAATTTATTTTATATTTTTAAAATTTTAAATTAAAATTTTATAATTTATTAATAAAGTTATAAATTTTTAATTTAAAATTCCAAAGTTTGTTTAATTTTATTTTTTTAAATTGTAATTTTTGTTAAATAATTTTTTATTTTCAGATTTAAATTTAAAATTTAATTTGTTTTTATATAATATTATATTTATATTTTTATATTAATTTACTAAATTTTTTTCAAAATAATTATTAAATTTTAAATAATATAATTTGTTTTTTATTTATAAATTTCAATTTTATTAATAAATATTTTAATATTAATTTGATTACAAAATTTAATTTTTTTTTAATTAAATAAAATATAAATAAAAATTTTTTATATTAGTAATATATAATATATTAAATAATTTTGTATTTAATATAAGTTATTTAAATTTTTTAAGTTTTTTTATAGTTATTAATTATTTTTATTTTCAAAATTATATTATAAATCCAAATGCTATACCATATTCTTAATATTTATAATCTTTTATTAATAGGCAGTTAAAAAATATAATTGAATTAATAGAATAGATATATTTAAACTAATGATGAAAATTTTTTTTTTTATATAAATTTTATTTGAATACAAGTTTATTCTTATAATATTTAAAAGTTAATTAATCAAAATAGTCAGATTAGTTAAAGAACAAATCAATATTATTGAAATAATAATTATTATATAATAATAATTTATATTTAGAATAGTAATAAACTAGCTTGTAAAAATATTTAATATAATAATTAAATATATATTATCAATAAAATCTTACATCAACCAACTAATATATTGTATATATATTATTTGTATTATTTATATTATATTAATTTTAATTGATATTTTTTTATAAAATTATTAATTAATTATAAATAAAACATTAATACATATTTGTTTTTATAATATATAAAAAATAATAATTTTATATTTAACTTTTTTAAAAAATATTTATTAATTATCATTTGCAATAAATAATTTATTTATTAAAATAATTTTAATAATTGATTGTTAATTATATATTTTTTTATATTAATATAAATTAAAAATTTTAGATTATTATTTTTTGAATTATAAATAAAAGATTAATTATTAAAATATAACAATATATACAGTATAAAGTTTAAGATTATTGTACAAATTTAGATCAAATCATCACGCGGGCTCATCCATCTTTTTTTAGTTGTTTGTAAAAAATATCGGATTTATGGAACAGCTTATTTCATCGTAGTACAAGAACTCAGAAAAAATTATAAAGATGTACGAATAAAAACCAATGTTTCAACATGTTCTTCAAATGTTTACCGATCGACAGATCATGAATAGGAGACTTTCAAGGAGTTCTTATCTTCTTTTTACTTAAAGAATTTACTCAGTTTACCTAAATAAGGTAAAAATTTTACCCTCTATTCGAGGCATAGATTTATTTAGCTTGTTTGTTGCCTCAGTATTTTCCTGTAAATACTCATCTTTTATCCTCTGCTATTGTTTTCACTCTTTTATCTTCACATAAAATATATTGTGAAGTCCTGCAAACCTCAATAGCTTTCTTGGATTGTTTTCACCAAACTAGTATTTGAACAGTCTCATAAATTCAATACCTGGATATTATTCATGTATCTGGAAACATCAGAATGAGACGTAGCAGTAGCCCTTGCATTGCAGCCACCAAACCAGTCAATACACGTAAAACGAACATTCCCAGGAATCCTCTAATTATTTCAAACTTTTCGAAACCTGGTTTAAATAGCGACAGCAAATTCCCTGAAAGAAGCATGACACTTCCAATACCTGTGAACACGAGTCAACCCATGTCAGAAATTAAACAGAATAAAACAAAACGTCTTAGCTGGAAAGTTAGATCCAAGATTCCCAGATTTAGCAGAACACCATCAACACAGTCTCAAAAGTCTGAATTAATTGAAAGCGACGATGGTTTTGTTAATAATCGTGGAAACTTAAATAACACATTGTCCTCATCTCCTAGTAACTTGACATCAAATTCAAAGCGTATCGCCAGTGAAAATGAAGAATCGAACGCGAAACTGAACTCTGACGATATGGAGCATATTACTTCGAAGACAAATAGGAATTTCGTAAAAGTTTATGACAGCGATCTATCAGGAAAACCTGGAACATCTAAATCAACTGATACCAGGAACAATAATTCTGCTCCTTCGCTAATATCTAATCTTGAAAAAATGTCAAAATCTACCACTAAAACACAAAAAAAGAACGTCAAAGCTTCTTCATCGAAAACTTTGCCAAGAAATTTCTGGAATTTTATTAGCAAGAAAAATAAACCACCCGAACTTGTGACCACACCTTCTCTATCAATTAATCAATTTTCATACTCCTCACCACCACCTACCATTCCGGAAAAGGCTCCAAGAAAGAAGAGAGGCAGTAGACCAATAAGTGGCAATTTCTCCCTTACAAAGCAAACATTAATCAATGTGATGTTGCGTAAAGGACGAAACCGAACGTCATCTGAGGATTCTTTGGCGAACAACGAGAATGAGCATCCAGTATTGATATATGAAAGTTTTCCTGATCCTGATCCGGAGGATTTTGTCAATGTGAATTTTTGGGATTTACCTGACTCCATATCGGCAACTGAGGATGCTGGCGGTGTATTACAAATGATTGAATACGATGGAATATATATAAATGGTGTAAAAGTTAATTAAAATTATTTGATAACTCTTTGAATGATACTCGATTTATTATTATCTATATTATTTGTCATTCGTTGTATTATATCTCGTTTTGACATTCATTCTTATAGGATTTGCAATCTCAAAATTTATGCTTATTAGATAGATTCATATTTAAGTAATTGAAACAATACATAACAAACACACATCCCCACATTGTATCATTCTTAAACCCATTCTCGAATAGTACTGACTATCGCACTTTATTATAACGAATTTTGCATACAAATGACTTATACGTGTTAAAGTCTTGTTACACGAAATATATATATATATATATATATATATAGTTTATTCGAATTTGTGAAGTCTAAGTCTTAGTTTGTATATAAAGGATTTGAAAATTTTAAATATCTGAATGAGTTGACTTATAATCATTTAGCTACACATGTGTCCGAAAATCTTGTATGATACACGTAATGATCTTACGTAATTCTATACTCAGAAAAATGCCTAGTAATGTGACCATGAATCAATGATTTGTAGCTTCAAAGATTTCTATGTAACGTTTTTTAACAATTTTTTTATTTTTTGGTTTACAACCTATACCTTATTACCAGCCTAACATATCTACAAAAAAAACATGGAAAGAGTTAAGGAGGTTGGTAGCTCCCTCTTTTATTATATTATATAATATATATTTGAATTGTATTCATGTCATTTATATGTAACGAATGCTTTAAAGGATATTTAGAAATGTTCTTTTACATGTTTTCCTAAGTGAAACAGTGGGACGAGATATATTTTTATTTATGAGTCCATGACTAAATGAAGTTCATTCAACTCCCCATTTTTGCAGTCGGTCTAATAATAAATCTGGAATAATTGAATTTAACGTTACTACGAAATTTATTTTAGAGACTCAACGCTCTTAAATCTGACCTTGATGCCGCAAATGAGCGAGCAGACATAGCGACGAAGGAGGCAAAAAAGTTTCAGGACGAATCCAGTGAAAAAGATCAAGAAATCTCAAATCTTCAGAGAAAAAACTCCACTCTCGAAGGTCAATTAGACGAAACGGAAGCAAATTTAAAAGAAGTTCAGGCAAAGTATGTATGAATACTTGCTTTTTGGTTGAATTGTTCAGCGGTCAAATGTTACCTATTCTATAAACATCGGTTATATTAATGAGATCAATGCTTTGTCACTTTATTATATAGGCTTAATGAAACTGATATAAAGTTGGAAAACTCGGAGAGGAAGGTAGCCCAACTCACACAAGAACGTGATGACTGGGAAAAAAAATGTGAGGAAATAAAAGCTGAATACAACAAAATCAAAGCTGAATACGAGGCAGCCATTTCTTCCATCGATGATTTGTAGTCATGTCACATGATAGTGGCAATATGTATTATGAAGATTTTTTTTTTAATTTTGGAATCTTGATAATTTCGGATTCAAATCTTTATTTAATTTCAACTCCGTATAATTAGGGTTTTTAAATATAATTAAATAAGATCACTTTTATTCGAAATTATATCAATTCAAATCGCATTGGAATCAAACCGGTTCTGAACCAGTTCGTCATTAATTTCTCTTTGTAGCTGAGTTGAAGCTTTTAACTTCATTAATTAAATTTGATTAAAATATTGCTAATGACAAGTTTAATTAAAGAAAATACAACATAAAAACGAGTTGTTTTTAATAAACTACGTAACATACAAACATATAATAAATAATTTTATAAAGAAAAAATAAATTGTTTTTTAATATAAATTTATTATAAATTTTTAAATAAATATTTTAATATATTATAGCTTAAACAAATATTTTTAATATATAAAATGTCTAAACAAAAAAAATTATTTGAATTAAGGTTTGTATAAAGAACAATAAGATCTTTATTATTTTTATTATTTTTATAGTTTTTATAATTTTTATTTATTTATTATATTAAAAAGTATATAAAAATACAAATCTGTTTATTAATATCTAATGTTAAAATCTCAATTATTACAATAATAATTAAATTATTTAAAAAAGCTTTTTTTATATTATTAAAAAATTAATATTTAAATTATATAAAATTAATATTTAAATTAATACCTGAAATTCAAATTTAAAAAATTTTAATATATATACAATTTGGAATAAAAAAATCACCTTTAATATTTTTATTGTAACTTTATAAAAAATTATTTAAATAATATAAAAATTTTAATACATATTCTTTAAAACTTAAAAATAAGATTTTTTTATTAGAATTTTTTTTAAATTTAAATTTAATATCTAAAAAAAATAAATAATTAAAACTTTAATTATTTTTTAATATAAATTTAATATGAATAAAATTTGTAATTTTTAGATAAAAAAATAATTTAAATATTATTGTTATTTGTTATATAATAAAAATTTATTTATTTATTTTTTTGCAAACTGATTAGTATTCTGAATAAGTTAGTTTAAATTGGATTTGGGTTTAATTCAATATGACTTATTTAATAATAATTCAGGTTTAAGTCAAGTCTATTATCAACTCAAACCTGATTTGAACTTAATCTGATAATCTTTAGATTAAGTTTGAATCAAATTTGAATTATATATTATGAAATTTAATTGGTTATTGAAAATATTTTTATTATATGGATAATTTTTTTATTAGTGATTAAATATCTTTATTTTATAAATAATTTTTATAATAATTAAGCTTTAGCTAAAAATTTTAACAATTTAATTCAATTTTTAATTCTCAAATTTATAGTAAATTTAATATATAGATTATAACACATTATCATTTTTAATAGTATTCCAAATTTCATGCAAGTCTATGTGAATCTATTTGATTTTGATTTTCAGAACCATAGTTTTAACTTTTGAAATATTTTTAGATCTAACTAGTTTTATATACTTGTTAACTTTCTCTCAATCAATTTTTTTAAAAAATTTTATTTTTTTATTAGAAATCATTAGTTTTAATTTTTCTATTAATCACATTAATATAATTACAAGTATATTGAATAATTAAGCAATATGATAAGTTTATTGTTTATAGTTTAAAGTATATTTAATAATTGTAAAAATACAATAGTTTTTCTTATTTTACATATATTGATATTAATTTATATACTATTAACTTTAATCTTATAAACAAATCAATAAGAATTACTGTGTCAAGATCAATTTTTCTAGTGAGCCAAAATCATTATAAGAAAATTAATCTGAAATATTCTAGTACTAAAGTATAAAGAAATACTATAAAATATTTATAAGCAAAAAGAAAAAAAAATATAGAAGAAAATACAAACAAAAAAAGAAACAAGAAAAAAACAATAGTTTGTCTTATATTACTCATTTTTTCTTTTGGATTATTTTTTATTTATTTTTTTATTAAAAAAAATTGTTCTTTAATACAGTATATTAAAAAAAATCAATAGATATCAAATCAAAAAAAACTCTTTTCACTGATTATTTTGCCAATCCAAAAAATAAATATTCTTAAAATTTTTTATATTTTTATAATAATAAAGTTTATATACTTTTCTTAACAATATTGGTTCTTTAATTAGCAAAGCAAGTAACAATTATTACTTGTTTTATTTTTTTCTTTTTAAAATATCTTTTCTGTTTATTTTTGTAACTAAATACAAGAAACCTACCTAAAAGGCTTATGGCAAAAACACATTTCTAGAAAGAAAATTAACAAGAAAAATATCCTTTAAATGTTCCCAAGAGATTCAAGAATCCAGAAAAACAAAAATAAAGAAGTCTCCAGTCTTCTTATTATTTTTTTGACTTTTCACTTCTTCTTTTTCAAGTATGCTTTCTTTTTTCTAATTTTTCTGAAGAATTTTGCCTATCTCAGTTTGACCTTGAATTTTTAATTACATCAAATTTTCTGAAAATAATTAGTTAAGGTCACAGATTGGTTGATTACATCAGCTACAAAAAAAATAAACAAAACATATACTTCTTATATGTTTCTAATTGCACAATACCTAATTGATAAAATAATTGATTCTTGAAAGAGTTGAACAGTTCTTAGTTGAAAAGGTAATATAGAAGTATTAGATAAAGCAAAAGTTGTGAATAGAAAAGAAATGATACCTTTTTAGTTTCCATTTCTTTTTTTCTTTCTTTTTCTATTCTTTCTTGAGAACAAAAAGTAGTAACAAGGTCTAGGTCCTATCTCAATTTGACAACAAGTTGAAGTATTGATATTTATCTTGAAAATAATTAAAGAAAAGGTCTTGAAATTATTTACTGATTGAGTGAAGCAATAATTTCAAAAAAACATGACTTGAAAGAGAAATCAACAATAGAAAACCAATATCCCTTCTAATTAGAAGTCTTCAAGTATAAAGTTTTAAGAAAAACTCTTTTGAAAGTGTCTTTAAACATTTTTGAACATCAACTACTTCAATGGAAATTAAACAGTCTGACTAATCACAGGTAGTAAGAAGTGAGAAACTACGAAGGACTTGGATTTTAAGTTTATTGAGATAATCTCTTTAATAATAATTAAAATAGATAATAGCTTTTTTCAATTTTTTTCAATTATTTCTTATATATACAATTGTACTGTTTTTTCTCTTCTATTCCTTTTTTTGTTTTCTTTTCTTCTTATATAATTTCTATAAAAAAAGAGTAACATAATTTGAATTTATAATCATGACTATAGAAGTGATCTGCAGATTTTAATCCTATTGAAGTACTGGAATCTTAATTCTTTTTAACAGGTGAACAACATTTCATTCTTATAAATTATATCTAGAGGCTTCAACTGTTAACATGTAAGCTAGGTCAAGAAAATTTTTATTTTGTAAGCATTCTTATACTTGTAATAATTCAGTTTTTAATTAAATAAATAAATAACTCTAGCTTGATTATAGAATTAAAAAAAAAAGCTAATAGATATTCTAATATATTGGCAACTACTAAATATTTTTATAAGTTATCTTATAGATTATAGACAAAAAAAACTTGAAAGACATATGAATTAATCTTAGTATTCATTCATTAAAATCTTATAATTAAGCTTAAAATATAATTTAAAGTATTGCAGACAACATTTTGAAATTTTTTTAAAAATTATTTACTTAAGAATTTTGACAAAAAAAGAAATATTGAAATAGTTATTGATATTATTATACCAAATAGACTTTGAATTTAAAAAAAAAATAATGAATTATCATTTTGGAAATATCACAAATAATGCTAAATTTAGATAAAATTGATGATGAATTTGTAAAATACGAAGTTTGAATTTGAAAAAGAAGATGACAATAAAGTTAATATGAAAATATTGATAACAGATGTATTAGGCATTACTAAAGTTGAGGATAATAAATATAGAGTTTATTCATATAAAGAAAACAAAAGGTTTTGAACTGCTATTAATTTAGATATTACCAAATTAAAGGATATTAATATATAGGCTTTACAAAAATATCTTTATATAATATTGAATCTAATATCAAATAACTATTCAAATCCAGTACTATATAAAAAAAGATAATGAATATCATACAAATATTTGAATCAGTCAGAAATACTTGTAATTCAAAAATGAATTAAAGAATCTTTTGATAATAATAGATTTAATCTGATTAATATATTGACAAGAAACAAAGATAATATATAAAACTTGCTAAAGCTAAAACATGCAATGTCAAGAAACAATATATTGAATATAAAATTTGTAAGCAAAGATTAGAAAAATTCATTGTGGTGAGAATGTTGACTGGAAAAAATACAATGAAAATAAATAATAAACTTGTACTAACATAGAGTTTAATTTTTGATTCTGCCAAAACTATTTTATCTTCAATAATAACAGCAGTATCTAAAGTTGTAATTGATTGTAAAAGTCTTAATAAAATTATTAGTGACTTCAAAAGACAGTAAATTTGAGTGATTATTATTTTAATGTTAACAGAATTGAAACTTAATTAAGGTCAAAAGAATATTATTTTATACATGTTGACTTTATACAACATAAAAATATAAAAATAAATAAATATAAAAATACATATATCTATATAAGGCTTAACTTTTGAAAACATATGTACTTAATTAATATAAAAAAATATAAAAGAAAATAAAAGAAAATAATATAAACAATATATATGCTCTATGGCCTTATGCTTCTAATTTGATTATATTAACTTATAGTAATTAATTAGTGGTGTCTTGATAATATGGCACATTATTAAAAATCAGAATTGTATTATATATGTGTCTAGCAATTATCTGAAAATGGATCTCAGACCTGTAGGTTATTAGGGATGAATCAGATACCTTTTGGAATATCTTAATTGCCAGGCACAGTATGGGTCCCATGGCATAGTTATAGATCAAGATTGTTATATTCTTTTCTTTTTAGA